TAACTCTCAGTTAACACTTTCGTTTCAGCTAAACATGAAAGATGTCTTGCTGTGAGTTTGTTGGGTAGCATTCGATGTCACCATTCGCTGTCACCATTATATAGTCCATGCGCTGTTGCTCAAGTTGCAGTTGCTTTGTGCTGTTAAGCGGCAACAGCAGAGGTTACCGTTTTGAACTGAGCAGAATCGGTTTCTATACCGTTCTGGACGCACTACTACGTGTGGTAGCACCGATTAACGGTTATATCTCCATCAGAGTTGATAATTATTGCTACGTTTAACCTTTACAGCAACAATTTATTGTTCTCATACCATATGCAATTTCTTACATCAACCTACTGCGTCGTACTACGTACTTAATCGAATTCCTGACACGTCCAGTGTGTCAGTGGGGCCTATTATTTTGTTGAAGCAGAGATACACGACGCTCTCTCATTAGACATTTCGAAGTTTGCCATGATCCATATGATGATTATTATCAATTCTGTTCGAAGTTCTGTCCCAAAGCAAATTTTGTTAAACAGTTCTGATGCCCCAACCACAAATTTTGTTGATTTTTGATAGATTGATTTTCCTGACACTGAGTCGCAAAGAGCTTCGAAATTTTTCGTAGGAGATGTACTGCAGCAAGTTTATGGTGGGAGTGATGAAGAATGCGATCAAGTCTCGTGGAGCGTAATAAAGGAAAAAAATTACGTCTGAATGAGACGGTAATAGATCACGTTTTAAAGCTGATCTGAGTTTCTGCTATTTTGCGCTATCTACAGATGGATCCCTGAATTTGAATTATTTTTCACAGGTTTTACATGTGTCTGTTTCGCAAATATGCGAGTTTACATTAAACATATTGACCGTAGATCGAACGTGCAGTTACAGTATTTCTTTAGGTTTTTGATATTTTTTTCTTTATTTCTGTTCACATCTTCATATTCAATTCATATTTAATTTCAGTTATTTATCTAGTTCATAGCTAGTTTTTAGGGAGTACTTTTAGGTAAATCTCGAAGAGAAGCATTTGCCTCAGCGCCATTCATGGTTTTGTGATGAGTGCGGTCGTAGCCTGTCTTCCAAACGATCATACCTCGAGCACAAAAATACGCACCTCAACAGAAGGCCTTTCAAATGCAAGTTTTGCAATTACGCCGCTGGTAAGGTCATCGAATGTTATTGCAAATCTGAATATTGTTTGAAGCCAGTCAAATGACTTTGAGAAGGCATACGCTGCGGATTCACGTGCCAAAGGAACAGTGGCGTTATCACTGCCCATACTGCGTTACGGTTTTCGTTGAACCGACCGGATATCAAAACCATGTCGAGTAAGCGCATCTACTTGATGTTCTTTATCATTCTTTTAACTTTTAAGTTGCATTATTTTTTCGGTCATTCACTTAGTACAGTTGTCATTAATTTTTAGACGTTCGAATGCAGACAACTTTTCTGCTGTTTTTAGGTGAATCAAGCTCTTATTGGATGTTTTATAGGCGAAGCTGCTTGCACAGCGACGGCTTTGTTGATCTACTGTAGGAAACTGAGTTTCAGCCCATATTGGACATTTGATGGTTGACGAGACCACATATTTTGCAGTTTCTTAAAGTTGCTACAAAATGGCAGTCATTGTCACCTGTTTGTTTATAGGTATCAGTTACTTACTTGAGTTGCGCTCGAATATTAAACCAGCACTGCATAAAATTGAAGAACATTTTTTTGGTTCAGCATATTTCTTATCTTCTTCGCTGCGAAAATAAAATGATGCGACAATTAAGTGATTAAAAATGTGTAAGGGACTCTTAACGTGTAGTGGGAACGTATGTAAGGGTCGATTTCTGGGTCAAAGACCATCTTTCACTTTCTGGATTTACATGGCACGGCGCACCATCCCGTTACTTCTAGTCGCCTGGGGAACCGTTTAAGGAGGCCACGGTTCCATTGTATTTTAGCACTTGCAGTGCATGGGCTCAAAACAGTAGCACTTTGTTGGGTCGAACAAAAGCATGTTCGAACACCAACAGATATATTTCTTTCCTTAGAAATACATACCAAGAATAAATCCGTTTTTATGTTTGCTAGCGAACGGTCAGCTTTTGTTCGATTCAGCAAAGTAGTACCATATTGCACCCAATGCATTACATGTGACCTGCTTAAACGGCCCCTTAGGCTTGTAGAAGCAAAGGGCGGTACTCTACACCTTGTAGGTAAATGGGAAGAGGGGACAGGAGAATGTAATTCTTGCCGGCGGAATTGAAAGCTGGCAGTTTGCTAGCAAGCCCATAATAAAAGTGCTTATTCTTGGTAAATGTCTGAATATTCATTGATGTCCATTAGTCAATATTCCTTTCTTTTTGTGGCAGCGGTAATTTCACGAACAAAATTTTTTTTATAATTCTGGTGTTTCAGCAATTACTCCAATTCCATGAACTGAATTTCTAGGTATGATTATGTGAGGGTTCATTTAGTCTGTCGTATTTCCTTGTGAAGAGACTTTCATTTGACTGTTACTTTCACTTTATTTTCTCGCTGTTTTTTACGTGATGGCGATGTTGATGGTAGCGTCCTTTAACCGGTTGATTAGGAGATACAGAAATTTTTTAAAGTTTTTTATTGCTGAGTGAAAGATGAAAATGACAGTTTAATATTTCTAGATGTGACAGTGAAATACCGCAGACAAGGGTATTCGAACATGCTGTACCGAAAAAGGCATATGAAAAATATTTATATTATTCGCCTTATCGACATTGCTTTACGTAAAAAATGGAAAAATTAAGTGCTTCAACACGAATTTTGTGTACCGAATTAAATCACACCATGGAGACGTCACTTAAATACGACTATCTCGTAGAGTTGTTGAATAAATCTTGTCAAACCTAATGGAATTATTTTCCTGTCGTTGTAAAGTTGTTATTCCTTCTAATTCATACATCAGCTAAGCTAAAGTTTGTGACGGGTCTCCGCCTCGTATTCAAGTCCATATTAATATTATGCTACACATGAACCACTTACGGTAAAAGGAAGGGAACAATGAAAAACAAGCGGCAAGTAAATTCTTCCTTGTATATGAAAGAGCTTTACATCAGCAATACGAGTAACGCACTTAAAAAGTGAAGCAAAATTTAATTAGGAAGAAGGAGACAAACCAGTGATCCTAAAGCTGTAAAGATTTGTGTGAAAAAATATTGAGCTGTTGTGTAACAAGTATTTATTCGCCTGCGTTTTACGTCAAAAAAGGTATCCCACAGGTATAACCATGTCTCACCCATGATATCAAGCAAGCGTCTACCGTTGTAATTAGCTGTGTAAGCGGTGATTTCAGGTTTGGATTTAACAACATATGGAACGAAAGCACAAAATTATCCTTTAAAACCTATGACCATCATAGATGGTACCATGGAAGAGTAATCTCGTTGATTTAATTTGATCGATTAAGATTTTTTGCTTGTTCATTGTGTTATATTACCAGTAGTACTGTTCCCCTCTCTCACTAAGAACCCCCCCCCCCGAGTATTTTCAAAACTGCGTTCATAATTAGCACTTGCTTTTTAGGCACCGGCATCCTGGCCGGTCTTGCACATTCGGATGTGCTAGATGCTCATACAGCACACTGTGTTCAACCAGCTTCTGGAACCACATCGAGAAACACTCTCACAACGTCACCCTCGAAGCCTTGAATGTTGCTGATGTGAGCGAGACGTTGGCTGGCAACAACGAAAACTTGCATCTTTTCACGGTAGACGATGAAATGGGTGTCGGCTGGAGCGACAATGCCATTGACACTTGCGACCTAAGGGGCTGCTCTGACGTGGTTATTGCTAAAAATGCCGGTGATACTACAGACTCTTTTGTTAGATATATTAGCAGTGCGCAGAAAGGTGGATTTATGAAGAAAGTAGATCATCTGTATTCCAACTGTGGAGGTCCTGTGGTTACGGCGTTACGCTCTGAAGTGCAGGCGGTACCGGAAGTGCAAATTCAGGTCGAAGTTAAATCAGACGACTGCAAAACCGGGAAAAATTTTCCGAAAGCCTGCAAATCTAATCCAGAATTTCTTCCAGATGGACAGATTGATTTTGACCTGGACTGAATGTAACGTTTTACTGTTGTTAAATTATTGCGCGAAGTAAATCCTGTTTGTTGGTTGTTTCTGATATAATATTATTGTTAGAATATGGGTTGATGCCCTAGCGGTCAGTTCTTTGATCGGTTCTCGCCAAAATGAAATTTGTAAAAGTTAAACCGTTGAATAACAGTAGACATGGATATTTAGGCTGTGGGTTACTCCGATAAACCTCCAGTAAATAATGACGTCGTCAGATCACCACGTCGCCTTACTTGTAATCGATATGCAGGAAGAGTTTCGAACAGCAGTTTCCTCCATTATTTCGAACGTGAACAAAACCATTGATCATTGTCGCACACGGAAAATACCAGTCATTTTCTCGCAGCATGGTCACCGCTATCCGGAAGTAGATGGAGGCCAGTTGAAAGAATTGTGGGGGATGGACGGCTTGATTAAATACGGTTCCAAGCGATGGCAGTTGCTCGAGGAACTTCATTTTATCGAAGGAGACTATCTGATTTTGGAAAAACGTCGATATGATACGTTTTATGGTACTATTTTGGACAATCTACTGAAGATGTTTCAGGTAACTAGCGAAAGTAAGTTATTCATAATTTCAAATATAGATAGACAAGAAGGAAACTGTAGGAAAATTTATAAAATGACGCGGCATATTCTGATCTAGATATGTAGATACTAGATCTAATGCCTACTCTCTTTGTTCCTAATCGTGAAGGGTGGGCTGCAGCGATAGTGGTTGAACCTAAGCGGCTTATGCTGTTTGAACAATAGGGCCTCCCCGTTCACACTATAAAAGTGAATGCGGTATATTCGTTGGTCGCATCTGTTTAGCGAGCACCGGTGGAATATTTGCACAGAATTTATCTATTCACTGTTCAACAATAAGACGTCATATTTCAAATTTGAATGCAGTTTTTACCACCTCTGGACAAGTCTTGTCAACGGAATTAGAAAACAATTGCATTTGGCAAAGAAAGAAATGTTTCACACCATCTTTCACAAATATTGCTCTAGCATCTGAATGCTTAATTATTTTGTGCTGCGGCTTAAAGGATAAACTCTTCTGAACGTTCGATCTACTATAGTGTCGCGCTATTATAAGCTACGGGACAGACATTTTATCTGAACCATCATCGAAAGGTGGAGGCAGACACTTCCTAAGGGCTTTATTCAGTGTAGGCAGATGTTAGAACAAGTTGAACTTGTGAATAAATTTTAACTTTATTTAACACGGAGAACTTTAGATGGTTTTACAAATTACGTCATTTAATCAATCTTGCACAGGCGTTTAGTTATGTACATCTTGTAACAACGTTGATAATCTAAAGCAGTCAATACAACAGCGTGTTGCCAAATAATCAGGTAAAAGCAAACAAAACGTGGTTTACATCTTATAGTGATTAACTGTGTCGTTACCGCCCCAAAGTACTGATGAGAAATGAAGAAGGTAGGGGACCACAGCGAAGTCTCCCATAAACTTTGCCCCCTGTCCTTCTTACCACCGACGCTATTGAACGTTATATAGGCTGTCATGGGTCCGCTTACCAACGGTCGCGCAGATACTTCTAAAACTGTACGTAACATCTCACTGAAAAAACGGAAACTGTAACGAAAGCAGCACATTTTGATATCACGGTATCATGAAACGTACATATATGGGCTGAAAAGCAGCGTAAACAGTTTAATTACACAGAACGCAAAACAGTCAGCCTTTCAGGTGGCAAACCGTGGTCGATGTTTCAGTTCTTGTCATGTTCTTTTTTATTATAAAGATCACGGTCTTCAGGTGGTGCATGTGATATCGTCTGCAACAGCTGACAGGTTTCTGTTCATATAGTGATCTTTTGACCTATGCTACCTTTATAGCTTACTTGCAAGAGGGAGGATGGGGCTCTTTAAATCCGTGCAGAGTTGCAGTCTTTATCAGATTGACAGTGGCTGACTGAGTAACTCAAACTCGACACAACAGTTTGCCAGTTTTTATCGCTATGTTGGATAATTCTGACCATCAGCTTGTCTGTCCGCTGATGTTCCTCGTCGCATCTGTCGTTAATAAATTATTAAAGCAGCAGTATGGGCCAAAAGGTCGCCTTGCGGATCGACTCGAATCAGCTGCTGCATACCACATTAGTGCCATCGTTAGGAGTCTAAAAGTAGAAGGAGGTCTGTCAATCAGTATATCGATTGTTTTGCAATATCTGTTTTCATCGTTTATGCTGTTTTTTAAATGACTACTGATACGTGGACAAAATAGATCATTTTCAAGTGTCTGTCGATCAGAACTATAAAATGCTTAATTTAAACCACAGACACCACCAGTTAGCTATTATCGTTGTGATGACAAGCAACCAGCCTTTTTTAACGCTCGTGCGCAATTTTGCTTTAAAAGGTGAACAACATTGCACAAAGAAATCAGCTAGAGATGTCCATCGTTGTCCAGCGCATCGTGGCAATATTAATTGAATAGATTTTTATTCAACTTAAGTTTGTGACGCGTTCTGTGCACTGTAGGCACTTAAATGACATAGAATCGTGGCCTGCTTAAATGCCCCATACCCCCTAGGCATCTGGAATCAAGGGGGCGGTGCAGTTATACTGCTGCTGTAAAATGAAAACATTTTTCTTTCTTTACACTGCGCATTTTCGCCGTTTCAATCCGGTATCAGTATTTTTAATGTAAATCAGCTGAAAAACTTGTCTAATTAAAGTTTTCGTTTACAGGTCGATACTTTGGCTATCTCGGGAGCTCTGACGAATCTCTGCTGTGAAACAACTGCTCGCAGTGCGGTCGTTAGAGACTATCGAGTCATTTTTCTTTCCGATGGTACGGGAACGCATTCTGCCAAAATGCATAATGCTACACTACTCAACATTCGTTATGGCTTTGGAAAAGTTATGACTTGTGACGAATTCTGTGCTACTTTTTAACATGTGCAACAGAAAGACAGTGTAATGTGTAAATTGACGTTGAAAACTCATCTTCTTTATACGCGACATATTGAATAAACTAGCAATCCTTTGAGGCAATGGTTTTCGAACGCAATGGCACTCTGACCGATCACAACAAACCTGTACTACCTGTAACGTTTCTACTACATGGAAACGATCTTCTTCAAGTTTAAAACTGAAAAAATGCATATATCTTTTGCACGCGGCACTAGCATACACGCTTGGTGAGATTGCAGAGTAGTTGCAATGCCGTAGGCAGTATTTTAAGCAATGAAGAGGTATCCTGACCAATCTAATACCATGGATTTGTCTTTAATTTCTCTGTAATGGCAAAATTTAACTTCATCGTCTGAGCCAACATTTGCCAGGTTGACATCGAGACATAGTCATCAATGAAATACTGAAATGTATGAGAGACAGAAATAAGACACGGTGAAACTGATATGACTTGATTGCAACTGTTAACAGTCGTCGCCAATGGCTGGCATGATATCTGGCTCGAAAATCCTGACTTGACGTGGTTACATTTGTCTGAAAAGTGTAACTGTTTGCGCACTTCTAAAGTTGTTGTTCTTGTCATTTTCGTCTGGGGTATGAGGGTAAAGGACAGAGTACACAGATCAAAGATGTCTCTCGCTTTGGCTTCTCAGAATGATTTATGTTATGTAGGTTGCTGCAGCAAAGGTCCCGTTCCTCGTCGCCATCAAGGCCACCCTGTAGCTGCTTTATGACGCGGTGCTGGCCTCAGGCGCGCTTGCGGGCTTGTTTGTTTCCAAAAGAAGAGCGGTTTTGGATAAGTCTTTATTCTTTTTCTGGATGGTTCTGTCAAACCAGGGCAGAGAGGGTGCTTGATTTTTTTCAGGCTGCATTCTCAGGCCGGTCGTCTCCAAGATCTTTTCATTCTTCATTAGATATTTCAAAATGTTCCGCAGGCAGCACTGCTGAAAAGTGCCCAACATCGTTTCATGGCTCTTTAACGGGATTGATGTTCCAAGGCTGTACATCAGGATTGAGAAAACGACGGTTTTCCGTATACGGTGAACTTTGTTGCTGTCCTGATAGATCGGCTTTGCCTCACTTTTGAAAATTACTCGAAGTTAACATACGCTAGCCTGAACAGTCGCTCGACTTTCATATCGCAGCTTCCACCTCTTTCCAAAACAGATCCCCGGTACTTGAAATTTCCGACCTCATCTATGGTCGTTCTACTCCACTGAATCTTGGGGTCATTAGTCGAGTCGGATACTTGCAAGATCTTCGTTTAGATGTGGTTATCTTCTAGGCGTACAGTCGAGATGACGCCTTGCACACTTCTCGAGTTGGCACCAGTAAGTCATTGGCGGAGTCACTTAGCGGTACAATGACGTCCGCGTACTCTACATCTGTTGTGAGTACTGCCGCTGGGTACCTTCGGCTGAGTCATCGTCTGATAGTAAATCCTTCGCTGTTGCTGGGAACGATCATTGAATAATAGAAATGAAAGCTCCTCTCTTCACTCAATCTACAGTTGATGCTAAACCAGTCGGACAACGACTCTTCTGCTCTGATGGCACCTGTAATACCTTCGCACAGTCCCTTCAGCAGACCGACGATCTTCTGCAATATTCCATAGTGTCGCGGTATGCTCCACAAGGACTGTTGGCATACCGAGTCGAAAGCTGCTCAGAAGTCGAGCAATGCTGCACGTCAAGGTAGTTATATGTTCCATCACTGTTCTGTTATCTTATGTAGTAAAGCGATGTTTTCCGTACAAAAGAGTCCAATGCGAAACCATGTTTGATTTGAGCGACGTTCTTCGTCTTCGGAAAAAGATTAAGGTAAATACCTTTTCCAGCAAAGGCCTACTCGCGACCCCACGATAGTTTGCGCAATCAGAATCATTCCCTCATTTGAATGGGGATGATCTCCCTCTGCTCCCACTTCTCAGTGATTCCGACTCACCTAGGGTTTCGCCTGGGCAGAATCAGAATTTCCACATGATTTCGAACTTCGACAGAGACGTATGGATCTCGGATTCAAACTTTCGATGTAACGGAGCAATCAATTTCCAGTTCTTTTCCGTCTTCGAACTCTATTTCTAGGTCATTAACTGAAATCAATTGGAAGAGGAGAAGCTGAAAGTGGCGAATATAAATCCATCTACTCCGACGGCTGTTTGAATCTGGAAGTAGCTCGCTGGACTTGCCGAGAATCAGATAAGTCAGGGGATCATGTTTGCTTCCGCTTGTGGCGATATTGACCTGTATGCGTAGCGTTTTTCAATCCTTTTTCAAAACCGCCTGCTCCAGATTCTGCGCTTCGATTTCTATCTAGGGCTGTTCGTCACAGCGGTAACTCACGTTGACTCGTTTCACGAAATGCCGAGACACTGTCGCTTCTTTGTCTCTTCAGAATTCTGTAGGGACTCCTGCTTCGTCGCGAAGAGTGAGAGTTTTGCGGAGACCCAGAGGTGCTTCTCCTTTATCCTAAGACCGATTATATTTACTACAGCAGTGACGATATCCTGTTTGAGCTGTTGGCAGGGTAACATGGAGTCTTGACAGGTCATGTGTCCTTTACAGCAGCGAATCTGCTGTTGGTCTCGTCTTTAAACGCCGCGAAAGAATCTTTAAACTTGCTGCTGTCAAATCTGGCGTTTTGCCCCTTTCCACGGTTTTTCTCCGAGACGTAACCAGTTGGAGGAGGAGCTTTACGATCACCATGAAGTGGTCCGAGCCAACGTCAGCTCCTCATCGTGCTCGGATCGTCCGCGACATCGCGGGGGTGGGGGAGGGCATACAACGTTGACCTTCACATGCTTTGTTGTAAGATCGCAAACAAGCACCCGATCGATCGTATACTCGACAGAGACTTGGCTATACTCATGGCTGCTCGTCACGACAGCAGCACCGCCACTTTGGCCGTAACTGTGACTATGACCAATGCGAAAATGTTTAGACTGAATTTCGTTCACTCTGATGCAGCACCCGCGATCAACATGGAGTGTTCCTTACTTTGGTTGACACGCTTTGTAAATGCGAATGGCCTTGCGAATGGTATGAAATGAAACGGAAAACGGTCAAAGTAATTTTCAAGAATCATTCGGTTAATCGAAGTTCATAGCTCATGCAATTCACGCTTCTCTCTGCACATGAAGAATATGCTGCTGTTTGAAAAAATGCTGAAGCTTGTATTTTCTTCCAAAGAATAATTTTCATAAATGGACAAGATATTAATCGCTAATGGTACATAATATGTCAGTATTCTTCGAACTTCCAACCAGCAACTTGACTGCTGATATTGGAAAGGCCTGATTCACGCAATGCATTAGGTCTTGTTTTAACCCTGAGAAGTCTTCTTGGAGTATAAGGCTGATTCTTCAGAATAAGATCAGAAATTACAAACCGAAAAATTTTACTGCTTCATCTTGAAGATCTAAAAGGTTTGGCACCAAGAGTAAAACAGCTAACATTAAGAGAGGTTCAAGTTCAATCTTATACAAAGAGGACTACCATATGAAAATGACACAGCATCCCACGAATTCAGTGATCTACAGTAAAGAAGAAAAAGTTGTAAATCCTGTTTAAACCTCCAACAGCTGACTGAAAGCCGGCTTTGACAGGCTGGTAGCAGGAAAAATTATAGGCAACATAATGGCTGCCTATTTGCACTTCATGTTGAATATCTGAACAATTCAGCTAAATAATGTTGTATAAACCATACTTGCCGCTTCCATTAATCATCTCAGTGGTGGAGGACATTGCGAGCAACATCAGAAAACCCCTGGATCAAATTTAAAGAGTCCTGACGACTGAAAGGCGGCAGCGCCTTGCGACAAGCTATTGAAAAGGCTGGCGTGAACCGTGAGAAATATTTGTCAATGCCATCCTTAGAGGTAGTCCGTCTCTAACGTAGCTAAGATTGAAGTGCTACTGACCTCAATTCCGTTGACGCTAGAAAATATAAAAACGAACGATACAGTTCGATTCAGCAAACCGCATCCCATACAGAGTATTTCACTGGTGCTCATGCCGAAAAACGGCATAAAGCGGGGTTTATTAATACACGGTGCAAAAATATGATCAGCGAGATAACTGATTACTACTGACACTTCAGCCTTGTCCCGCAGGCTTTCTTAAATAAAAAAAGAATATTAATCAATGATTACTTGTCTTTCATACAACGCTAACGGGCCATTCCCCTTTTCTTTATGTAGAAGACCCACATTTCGATAGATATTTAAATCACGATTCATGCCTCACAATATCAGTCTTTATTAACTCTTTGAAAGAGGCCTTCCAGGGCACTAAGATCTGCTCTAAAATGTTCTTCTTGAAGAAAAGTGCAACAACTTTAAAGGTTAGTGACTAATAACGATTGTGACATGTACTTTGTCATCAGAAGCATCGGTTACTTCAACCAAGTACTTTTAACAATCTTGTCAAGGTCTGAAAGAGTTCGAAGTTTCTGCAGAAGCGATAATGATTTTCTGGCCTAAAACGAAAATGATTGTCAAGGCAATAGCCATGAATGGTTTTCTTGCCTTACGCTTGCATTGCTGGTGATTCGCACTGATTAAAGTAGCATCGTAATCTACCGTTTTCTTCCATACGAAACGACACTATGCATTATTTTGGAAAGCATATCAGGTGAAACAGTTAACCAAAACGTAGGTATGATCAGATGAATAAAGAAGCGTTAAGAGTCTGGTAAAAATATTTATTATTTAGAACTTTCCAATCCCACAATGATGTTGCTTTTCAGCAAAGGAGCATCGTTGTGAGATTCAAAATCACCAGATGATAAGTAAATTAGTTAAATTAGGCGACAACTAGTTTCAATTCTTTATCTGTTACTAATATGAGCTTATTTATGTCTCTGTCTAACTGCAGTCTTTACTTGAGGTAGCGAACCTTCGAAACAAGGAACAGAATTCCTTTGTCGGAGCATGAACAGAACTGTTGTTTCTGGATATGAAAATCCGGCTGCCTCAGATCTAATGAACCACCAACAGAGAAGAACAGCCGGTTTGACAGTCCGGTGATAATAACGATCGTAAACCTGTTTCTGATGTCACTGATCAGCGACACGCTGCTTCACTTCCATTTGGGTGTTTCACAGCTTTGTCAACACAGTGTCAGGGTCGGTAACTTCGTCCGTTGACCAAAAACCGCGTATTTACTGGCAACCGCATTATCTGGCCAGAAGTTCACTCAAATATTATTACTCAAGTCTTAGTCTATTTGCAAGCATTCATGGCACGCGTGATGAATAACACAGTCTCATCCAATTTACCTGGTCTTTGCTGACAAGCGCACCAACATATTCTCTACGATCTGACTGGTACACATAAACTATTGGTTTCAGGGCGAGCAGCAGGAACAAACGAATGCTTTATATCTGTCAGGTCAAGCGCTTCAATAATGGATTCTGCTGCAAAGCCTAATCCTTCATAACTAATTATCTACCCCGCAGACAGTATTCCAGGATTGGATCACCTGCACCTTCTGGTAGTCGGCGACGAATCGAACCAGCCACAATACTCTTGTTGTCGTAGCGCATGAGGTTTTGCCACTCAATGGCTAGTCTGACGATGGCCTAACAATTTCGTACAGATGGATGCCATAATTTCAGTTTTTTATCGAAATTTTCTCTACTAGACTTTCATGAAGTGACTTATAATCAGAAGGCAGGGTCACATTGACGGCGTTTCCTTCAAAGGGGCTGGTCGCCTCGTCATGAAGCCGTCATTGGGCATTGTGATTTTTTTAAAGCATTGAGCTCAAACCCAACCACAAATGATGGTCTCACCGTTGTCTATGCGCAAATGCGTATTTGCCACAATAAACTATTTTACTAGTGATGGTAAATTTGACGGAGATCGATCGGCGAATTGGAGTAGCGAGTGGCGTTCTGCGTGAATTTGCCTGAAGCACTGTGACTAAAGCAGAGCTCAGTCTGAAAACTAAGCTCTCGGTGTTCAAGTCGATCTTCATCCCCATGCTTACCTACGGTCATGAGTCGTGGGCCATGACAGAAAAGCTTCGAACCCGGGTACGAGCTGCTGAAATGAGCTTTCTTAGACAAGTCGCTGGCGTCCCGTCCACATGGTCCGGAATACTGATATCCGGGAGAGCCTTGGTGTAGAGCCTCCGCTTCTCCAGAAAGGAAGGTTTAACAACTCTTTCTAGCCCAATCGACCGGCAGAAAGCCCAGGAGACAGCCAAGATTAACCTGATCGAAACGTATAGGAGTGTGTTCTCTATAGAGTTGGAGTGACTCCAGTTGTCTTCTGTCGAAGCTCAGGCTCTGGCACAGAATCGGGAACATTTAAAGCACTGTTTGACGCGTCTGCCCCGCCACCCGAAGGAAGAAGCGGCCAGGGAAGATGAAGGGAATGAACATTTTTAAGCATTTTAGCACAATTTAAATAAGCGGTACATTTTAAAGTTAAACGAATCTCTGTCATATTGAATTTTAAGCGATCCATTTCCATATTATTCACTACTTTAAGTTTGTAGTACATAGAAGGTACCGGGTATATTTAATTTCGACCCTGGAATGCTTGCAAGTGAAAACAATTCGCTAAAACAACAAAAGTAATGTTTTACAGCTGCACTTGAAAAACGACAATGTTAGCAATAACCAAACGAACGGTAAAACATCAAAGAAATTCCGGCCTTCTGTCTGAAAATCGTCGTCCAAATCTTTCAGCTTTGGGATCACCTAATAAATATGCTGCCAAGAAATCTTGTTCTCCGTCAGGGTTAATGATTTTCAGCGAAGCATTCTTCAAAGTGTCCCGCATATTACCCAATGACGTATATCCTTGATCATACAACGTACAATACGGCAACCACAAGTCCCGCAAAAATTTCCAAACATCTGTGTACGACCAATGAAGCAACGGGAAAAGTCGTAAATAAGAAGGCCAGTCAGGATCAGTCAAGGCCGTCTCGTTCAATTTGTCTATTCCAGGATCAGAAAGGCGTGATCCCATGAAAACTACCTTGTACTTTGGATGAGACTTTTTCAATGTTTCAAGAGATTCTTTAATATCACCATTAAGCGTCAGCATATTTAAATTGTACCTAAAATATAGTCAGACACAAGGTGTTTGTTACATAAACTCGACAAAAAATCTTTAATTCATTGATATATTCATCTATCAGATGCCGAAAAGAGCTACGACAATTCAGGTTCCTGTTCGCTGTTTACCAAAACTTACTGTCCTATGTAATGTGTCTTATGGTCCAACGCCAATCTACATGAGAGACTTGCTTTCTACACTCGTCAGTAAGTGCGGCAGACATCCCCCTCAGTCCGCTGTAATAATATTGATTTATGAACTTTTCGACCTGATTCTCAGCATTTCTAGCACAGATTTGTGAATTCGGTAGATTATACAACAAAACTATGCATTTGCAATAGTGGTCTTCAAACATGAGGCGGTACTATAACGCCGCGAAACGCTTGCAATTTCTCAGAATCATTATCATCATTCGTGATCATAATTGGAGCCAGATCCGTTTGAGTGTGGAACAACTGTAAATCCGGACGATGTGATGCTAATCGATAATAATCGGTGGAAATATTTTCGAACACTATTTCTTGCCACTGTGTCTGACAATGCCGCTCTGGGGCAGGGTCATCGTAAAAGAAGAATGGTGTGACTTGAATGCAAAAGATTACTGTCGAAGGCAATATTAGACAAACTTCTCTTCGTAATCCCGTTACATAGCCCAAAATGTGGCTACGCAACAGTCTATTAAGCCGATGATGAAAAAAAGATACTAAGGAGCTGCACTGAAATCTTGCTAGTTGATGTAGAGGAAGCAGTTCTGACTCTATTTAACATGTCAAAAGATTCTTTTATACCCGGAAAGAAGCTGAATTAATAAAAGTTTATCGTGTACGCAAAATGCGACTCGCTATTTTTACATTTAGTTATCTCTAACTTAAACGACGAAATGCGACTCTTGATTGCTATGACAAAACCATGGGCTTCGTCGAGGAAGAACATTTCAAAGTCTCCTGCGTTGACACTCAAACAACAGACTATACAGTTAGCTGAATTGCTAAAGCAAGTCAGAAGAATATAATGAGCATATAATCAGGCGCCTGGTATAATTTAGGCGCAAGTCAGGAACAAGACAACGTAAACTGACAAAACGCATATGCAACAACGCAACAGATTGAAATAGTATTTACCTACCTTACTGCGGTTTCGGCAACAAACTGATCCATTTTTTTAAACGGAAATGTTGGCTGAACATAAAAAGCTGCCAGTTTCCTCCTATCGTTGGTTCCGTATTTTCTATAATAGCGTTTATCAAAAACATTACGGTACAATGTAGAGGTATAACGGACCTTCCTCAATTTAGAAGAAATTTTAGAGAAATGTTATCTAACTTATAGAATTATAATTAGGCCAAAATTATGAACTTAATTCAACCTAAAAACTTAAAAAATCAATCTGCTACATGTGCGAAGGAATTTCATGTCTTCCAAGGAGATATGTTCGTTTAAAAATGGTACCTATATCACAAAATGACCATATTCTTCTGTTTCAGTCATTACAGTTATTTGACAGCTATAGTGCCTGTCACTTATTTCATCAACAAACATGATACGGGACTAGCAAATCTTTACTTTTTCTTGCAAATCATATGAAAAATATGTTTATTATTGAAGCGGAACAAAAACTGATTCTAGCAAATGTATTTCAAAAGAAGATGTATCTTACGCTCTGGTCGGCAATCAGCAAAGGCATAAGCGAAATATTTGGCAAGTTAGATTCATTATTTACGTAACAGACACTTTGTGTATTCGTTACATCTTTTGTTCCACGTTTGAACGAATGTTAGTCATAGTGTTAATGCAACTGATATCGACTTTTCTTCCCCATCATCTTCGACGACGTATAGAACTTTTTTAAGTTACTAGTTCCTGGGGGAAACTATGATGCCGACCTACGGAATTCTTCCATTATGCTAATAACGAAAACTCAAATCTTTCAAATCAGACCGATAACTGACTAACGAACAGGAAATCCAGTATTAACTGTTAGTTAATAGTTAAGACTAAACTTCTAGCAATAGTTGCATTACAGAATATTTGCCACCTATCGTCAGCGGTTGACTCGATCAGGTTCCGTATATATCCCGTTATCGAGCCTTCCCTCGGTCAAATCAGTGTTGCTGCATGGCAGAGACAGTTATTCTAACGAAGGACCAAGAACGACTGCTGAACTGTATACAGCGTTGACCTCGACGCTCAATGACGATGAGATGACAAAGTCACTTAAAAATGACTATTCTTTTCTGAGAAAAGATCACCTTAATAAATGTGGAGATTAAGAAAAATACTTTGGTCCTGTTAGACAAACCGGCTGAGAACTAATCGTTTACTCTAGAAACGATGAGGTTATCGCGTGGGAACTGAAGCACAACCGATATCGTATTTGAGGCAAGCCTAATAACATAAAGGAACATGGTACAGTTAGATCTGATCTAACAGAGATTTCCTTCAACAATGTACCAACCGCTGCTTTACGACAAGTGTTGAACAGCTGCGAATACACAACGAATACCACAAACCAGAGTCGTTCAATTCATGTACAGGGATTATAGTGATGACTTGAAAAAAGTAACAACAGATTGATGACGAGAAACCGTTGGTGGTATGTATTTGGAAGATCATATTGTCCAGTTGTCAACGGCCAGTGTTTATGGTTGGAGACTAGTTATTACCGTGAAGTCATATAAAAAATCTCTCAAAAAAGAAAATCCGGAGTATCGTTATCTTTGTCATATCGGAATCGAGCTAAAATAGCTCACAACTATTTTCTCAGGTCTGTCTATAACACTCTTCTAAATCTATCGCCAGTGGTTGGATTCTGAATGCGTGCATCTCTGCTACGATGGTATGACCAACTTTGTGAAGAAATCGTTTTATCGTTTTCTAAGTAGCTTGACCTTAACGATCAGAATCTTATTCACTATCTCAGTGTAGAAAATTAGCCGCCAGTGCAAAGCCATTTTCGAATAACAGCAAATAACACTGACAGAAACCTTCTAGAAGGTGGACTGAAACCTCCTCCAGGCAATTCTGAACAGAACTGTAAAACGGCAGGCAGAAAAGAAATGGCAGCAGTATTTGCTCGAAGCACCAGACAGGAATCCTCGTAAATCTTCGTATTATAAATGACGAGACTGTAGCAGGGCTGTTACACTACTGTCCAAATTATTGGGAACTTACTGGTTCCTGCCTTTGCAAATGGTACAAAGTTTTTTACTCATGTTTTCAAAGACAGCTGTAAGCTGTGGCACAGGAAAATAATGACCGTATCAAGGTATGAACAACAAATGCCTTATGTAAAAGGCCACCACAGTCTCACACATAGATGTCTATTATAGTTACAAATTCTGTAATGCTGTAATCATTTGTGAGCTATTAAGTAAATCTGTTCTCTCTGTCGTAGATTTAATGCTAAAAAGCATGACACCTGTGGTGGAAAACCTACTGATCCCTGAACAAGGAGATCTTCGACAGGGACACATTAAGTTATGACGCCAACGAATTTTATCAAGAACGGTTTGCGCAGAAGCTGAAGGCCGGATCAATAAAGATTTGATGAGAAGTAATGACGCTGTCAGGCAAATTGGTTCCCTTGCCAAATAGTTCCATAATGCTACGAAAGAGGGGGCAGTTAATTCATCTGCGATTCTCCTGAGATTCCCCCATTTCTAACTACATATGGAAGACAGAATATTTTCATACTGCTCAGAACGTAGTCTACTCGAAAGATCCATACGCGGAATCACGCTGTACTTTACAAAGCGACAATTCATATGTCAACGCTCAAACGTTCATACATGCAGATGGTATCTGCTCGCCTTCCGTTAGCAGAGAGTTCCAAACATGGTTCAGACAAAAGGAAAGCTGGAGACTATGGCGAATTCTTCGCAAAGTCAGGATCAGCTTTAGTCACGTTTGCCTTGCTTAACAACAGTCGAACACCCTGGAAGAGGGGGACTGAGGTCGCACTGAACAGTCAGTTAACTAAACATGTGCACCCCCTCTCCCATCACGGCGTGCGACAGAACTGCGATAACTAAAGATGACGATGGACATCATTTTGAAAATGGTAGCATGCAGTTACCCGAGCCGCTGCACATTCTGAAGGGAGTTACTGACAAAATGAGAAACTATGGAAAATCGCGCAGTATAAAAATCAGAAATCAGAATATCCTCTTAAGAAGATAAAAGAATTGCGTGGACGAGACTGCAAAATAACAGCTGTATGTACTTTGCATATCTCAGGGATAAAATCTTCAGACTCAGAAAGTTCAAACGATTAAAGCTGGAAGTTTTCCAATAGTCACTGTTCAACAGACGTTGATTCGACTGTTGATTCATGTTCGAGCGGTTGTAAGTGAAAGCATCAACTTATCC